ACATAAAAAAAAATTTAGTGAGGAAGAAAAGATATGAGGAGAGAACAAGCCAACACATATATATTAACGCTAACCGATGCTATTTCGACGCTAAATCGACGCTAAATCGACGCAAATTAGCATCGAAATAGTATCATTTAGCGTTATTATATATATGTGTTGGCGCTAAATTGAAACAAATTAATTGAAATTTTTTCGGTTTAGCGCCAAAAATTTAACCAAATTAATTGAATTTAGCATCGGTTTTGCGTCGAATACAAACAATTTCATTTAGCATCGATTACTAACAATTCGATGCTAAATCGATGATAATTAGCATCGAAATAGCATCGATTAGYGTTATTATATATGTGTTGGCGCTAAAGTGAAACAAATTAATTGGAATTTTTTTGATTTAGCGCAAAAAATTTAACCAAATTAATTGAATTTAGCGTCGGTTTTGCGTCGAATACCAAACAAACCGCCGCGTTTTTTGTTCTTTACCCTAAACACCAAAAAATTCATTTAGCGTCGATTATTGACAATTCGATGCTAAATCGATGCTAAGTAGCGTCGATTTAGCATCGACTGCAGATATTCCAATTTGGTAGAATATTTTTTCTTGTGAATTCTTGGTTATTGATGGTGTCTTTGGCTTGTGAAAGTTGATGTGGCTTGGTTTACACCTATTTTGGCTCTTTTAGATCTTTTTTGCTTGATTTTTCTGTAAAGACTCTAAAACTACAAATATGAGAAAACTACCTCTTTTGGTCGAAAAGCTTTATTAATATATGTAAAACCCATAGTAAAATAGATAGTAAAAGTGGTAAAATATAGGGTTTATCAACTCCCCCAAACTTATCTTTTCGTCGACGAGGTGATTGATCGACGACGTGATTGACCACCAAGATGAAGTTGACTACGTGAAGTCGACGAGGTGATCGACGAAGCTGATTCGAGCTCGTCGTGGAGTGGAGAGACTCGACGATAATTTGAATCTAAAGAAATTTGGCGACGAGGTGATGATGCAACGAAGCGAGGTTGATTTGTGGATCCGACGCTAGGTGGACTTGTGTTGACGACGAAGTGGTCTTGTATACCTGAAGCCAAGGTGGACTTGTGTGACCTAACACCGAGGTGGAATCGTGTTAACGTCGACAAGGTGACCTTATGTTGACGACGATTTCGAAGACGACAAATTCATCTTTTCACTCAGCGAGCTTGAGCGAAGTGGATTCGATCGTGGCAAAACTGGAGCGAAGTCATCGACTTGAAGAATTAAAATAGATTCGCAAGGTTGTCGCGAAGTGAAAAGTTATTCCTGATTAGTTGAAGCTTTGGAAATGGTGAGGCGAAAAAATAGTTTATGACTCTTTGAATTCTTCGTTATGTTGTCAACACGAAGTGGATGTCTTTGAAATCATCTCAAACTTAAGATGATTATGAAGACGATGTCCGTCCAGTGTTTCGTCCAAGAGATGCTATGAGATCGACGAGACGTTCATAGAATCACAGTCTGAGAGGAAACGCCTGAAGAAAGAAGTCTTTGACATTACTAACCGCTTAGATGTCACTGCCCATCTTCGGGACGTGGCTGTGCAATGGGCTATGATGAAGCGAAGCGTGAACTGGCAGCGGAGTACAAGACGAGGATCGATCGCGCTAGAGAGAAGGTCACAGTGATTAATGGCCATCCAAGGATTGACATAATTGGTCTTGCCAAAGTCCATGGTAACATTAAGTTTTTCGGGTTGCTTCAGAGTGGCAAAGTGCCTAATCTTGTCGATCAAATCGTTGCTCTTAAGAAGCAGGATGCGGGATTGTGGGATTGTCACTTGCTGACAAGGCGTTTTCGCCTGCTAGTATGACTGACGGTCGAGTCGTTGAGTCAGATGTTGATGACGCTGAGGAGATCGCGTCTTAGTTTTTTTTTGTTCTAGCACTTTGTCGTACTTTTGATTTCAGACTTAGTATTTGATTTAGCTTGAATGGTGTTTACCCTTTTGTTCAGAATTATCATCAATTTTGCCTTGTATTATTTGAGATAGAATTTATGAATGCGGCTTTTAAGATTCTCGTTCTTATATTTCGGACAAACTGTTTTACTGCTAAGTCTTTAAACTTTAGCGCTGATGCACTGATGAGTCTGTCGGCAAGTCGCCCTTCACAAGCCTGCCCCGACTATGTTGTCGTTTTAGAGCTAGCTATTTGAGTTGAAATGATGGTCGTTCTGGTTTTCAGGCAGGTTGTCGTTGATTGGTCTGTGTATGAAGATTGGTTATATTGGTGTTAGGACCAGCGATAAGTTAGCTGGATTTGATGATGATCGTTTCGGTTTACAGGCGAGTTCGCGTCGATGTACCCGTTTTGAGAACGATTGCGTTATTGCGTAATAACCAACGATTAAGTTGTTGGGTTTAGTGATGAACTTATTGATTTACTGGTAAGCCTCCATCAACGCGGCCGCTCCAAGAATGGAAACGTTATTGCATGATGACCAACGATTAGGTTGTTGGGTTTTCTGATGATCATCTTGGTTTGCTGGCAAA